AAATATTTTAAAATAAATCTAGGGTAGCCTAGGTGTACAGTGTTTCTAAAGTCTATGGTAGTGTATGGTAGTGTCCTAGGCCTTCACGTTCACTCGTCACTCACTCACTGACTCACCCAGAGCAACTTCCAGTCTTCTAAGCTCCATTCATTGTAGGGGCCTATCCAGGTAGGCCACTTTTTAATATTTTAGAACATATTTTTACTGTACTTTTTCTATGTTTAGATGTATTTATATAACATAGATACTTAACATTGTGTTGCAGTTGCCTAGAGTATTCAGTACAGTAACATGCTGTACAGGTTTGTAGTCTGAGCAATAGGCTATATGCCATATAGCCTAGTTGTGTAGTAGGCTCTACACTCTAGGTTTATGTAAGTACACTCTATGATGTTCCACAAAGACTAAATTGCTTAACACATGTCTCAGAATATATCCGTGTTAGTAAGTGATACATGACTGTATTTTAAACATGAACTGTGCTAGATTTTGCAGAGATTATATTCTCCATTAGGTCACTTTTTGACTAGTTTTTAATAGATCTGAGCAACGTAAATAATAATACGTGACATTTGTGTAATGCTTCACAGTTTACAGAGTCCTCTTGAATACTCTTCTATTTTATCCCATAATAGCAAGTAATAGCCCTGCTGTGTCAGTTTTATGGATGAGAAAGTGGAGCTTTATAGTGCTTAAGTGATTAGCTTGAGGTCACACAACTTCTAAGAGGAGGATTTGGAGCTGGAGCTCACCAGACTTTAAATCCTTTTGTTGAGAACTACTCTCTTAAAAGGGTAGAGAAAAATAAGTAAAATTTAAAAGTGAAAATTAAAGCTGTAGCAATTGAGTTTTCCTGCCCAACTTTCATCTATTAGTCGTAGGGATTTTTTTTCCTGTCTCGAGTATTAAAACCTTTCAAAAATTTACATCCTTGTTATTATGAAAGATCACATCTCCTCGGATAATGTGTGCCATTGTTCCAGTTTTTAAGATTTACAGTTTTAATGTTACTACCTTAAAATTTGTAAACATTGTTTTTACTTAGGTTTTGCTTCTACTCTTTCAGAACTAAAGAAATCTGTTTACTTGACCACTTATGTTTTTACATTCTGATAATAAATCTTTTCTAAGAATTTGACTCTTGTCTCTTGTGTTTGATAACATTCAGTATTATACTGCTAGTACCAATTCCATGTGATTAGATTAAAAATAACCTAACTTCAGGTCCTTAGCTCTTATTGACAGCACTAAAAATTGTTTTAAGACCTATATGCATGAAAATACAGTAGAAGTATTGCTAGAGTAAAATGTGTTTTTAGGTTGGAAATGCAAGAAATTCTGTTAGAGAAAATTGTTAACAAATGTAAAAAAATAAAAGCATACTTCAGAAATATTGCTGGTTCATTTTCAGACTACTGAAGTAAAGCGAATATCTCAGTAAAGAGAGTCATATGAATTTTTTGGTTTCCCAGTGCATACAAAAGTTACGTTTACACTATACTCTTAAGAGTGCAGTAGCGTTGTGTTTAAAAAATGTACATATCTTAATTTAAAACTTTACTGCTAAAAGATGCTAATGATCATCAGAGCTTCCGTGAGCCATAATCTTTTTCCTGGTGGAAGATCTTGCCTCAATGTTGATGGCTACTGACTGATCAGGGTGGTGGTTGCTGAATGTTGGGGTGGCTATGGCAGTTTCTTTTCTTTTCTTAGAGACAGGATTCAGTGGCGCTATCATAGCTCACTGTAGTCTTGGACTCCTGGGCTCAAGCAATACTCCTGCCTGGGTCTCCTGAGTACTACAGGGACAGCCATTTTTTAAAAAAATTAATATTTTTAAAGATGGAGTCTCCCCATGTTGCCCAGGCAGGTCTCAAACTCCTGGCCTCAAGTGATCCTTTTGCCTCAGCTTCATGAGTAGCTGGGATTACAGGTGCCAGCTACTGTGCCCAGCTCCAACTGTGGCAATTTGTTAAAATAAGACAGCAATGAAGTTTGCTACACCAATTGACTCTTTGTTTTACGAAAGAATTATCTATAGCGTGCAGTGCTGTTTATGGCCTTTTACCCACACTAGGACTTCTTCCAAAACTAGAGTCAGTTCTCTCAAACCCTGCCACTGCTTTGTCAGATAAACTTATGTAATCTAAGTCCTTTTTTGTCATTTCAACGATGTTCACAGCATCTTCACTAAGAGTATCTCCCATCTCAAGAAATCACTTTCTTTGCTTATCCGTAAGAAGCACCTTTTCATCCATTCAAGTTTTACCATGAGATTGCAGCAATTCAGTCACATTTTCAGGCCTCACTTCTGATTCTACTTCTCTTGCTGTTTCTCCCACGTCTGCAGTTACTTTCTCCACTGAAGTCTTGAACCCCTCAGTCAACTATGAGGGTTGGAATCAACTTCTTCCAGCTCCTGTTAATATTCATATTTTGACCTTCCCCCGTGATCCTGAATGTTTTTAATGGCATCTAGAACAGTGAATCCTTTCCAGAAGGTTTTCAGTTTACTTTGTCCAGATCCATCAGAGAAATCAGTATGGCAGCAATTGTCTTATGAAATATAGCTGTAAAATCGTAAGACTTGAAAGAATGACCCTTTGATCCATGGGCTGCAGAATGGATGTTGTGTTAGTAGGTATGAAAACAACATTAATCTTCTTGTACATCTCCTTCAGAGGTCTTGAGTGACCAGGTGCATTGTCAGTGAGCAGTAATATTTTGAAAGACATCTTTTTTTCCTGAACTTCCAACAATGGACTTAAAACATTCAGTAAACCATGCTGTAAGCAGGTGTGCTGTCATCAGGCTTTGTTGTTGCATTTCAGGAGCACAGAGTAGACTGAGCATAATTCTTAAGGGCTCTGTGATCTTCAGAATGGTAAATGAGCATTGGCTTCAACTTAAAGTTCCCAGCTGAATTAACTCCTTACAAGAGAGTCAGCCTGTCCTTTGAAGCTTTGAAACTAGGAATTGACTCCTCTCTAGCTATCAAAGTCCTAGAAGACATCTTCCAGTAGAAAGCTGTGTCATCTACATTGGAAATCTGTTGTTTAGCATAGCCACCTTCATCAATGATCTTAGCTAGCTAGATCTTCTGCATAATTTGCTGCAGCTTCTACGTCAGCACTTGCTGCTTCATGTTGCACTTTTATGAAGATGGCTTCTTTGATGTAGCCTCATAAACCAACCTCTGCCAGCGGCCAACTTTTCTTCTTTACCTTCCTCACTTCTCTCAGTCTTCATAGAATTGAAGAGTTAGCACGTTGCTCTGAACCAGGCTTTGGCATATAGGAATGTTGTGACTGGTTTGATCTTCTAACTGGAACTAGAATTTTCTCCATATCAGCAATAAAGTAGTTTCCCTTATTACTCATGTGTTCACTGTAGTAGCACTTTTAATTGCCTTCAGGAACTTTTCCTTTGCATTCATAACTTGGCTGTTTGGAGCAAGAGGTCTGGCTTTCAGTGTATCTTGGCTTTTGACATGCCGTCCTTGCTAGGCTTAATTATTTCTAGCTTTTGAATTAGAGTAACATGTGACAAAACACGTACAGTGTTTATTAATTAGGTTTCCTGTGTTCTATGGGCACAGTTTGTGGTGCCCCAAAACAATTACAATAGTGACATCAAAGATCACTGATCACAGATCACCATAAAAGATATAATAATAGCACTGGAAACGTTTGAAATGTTGCTAGAAGTACTAAAACGGGACAGACACACAAAGTGAGCACATGCTGTTGGAAAAGTGGTGCTGATAACACCATTTTTCGATGGTGTTATCGAAATTCGATATGTTGTATATTCGATGCGGAATTACCACACACCTTCAGTTTGTAAGAAATACAGTGTTTGCAAAATGCACTAAAGCAAAGTGTATAAAACCAGATATGCTTATAGAAAACTAGTGTAGTTATAATGGAGGAAAATACAAAAGTGGTGTCAGACTATGTGGTGTATGCTACTTTTAGAACCTACTTTTTTGTGTGTGTGTCAGTGACTCTAGCATCAGTCTAATGAGTTGATTGATGTGTAGCATTTTACTTTACTACTTACGTTGTAATAAGTGATGGGCTTTATTTTTAAAATAAGCAGTCTGTACTTTCTATTGTAATGTATTTCTGGGTATTATATTTCAAAAATTGGAGAGAGAAATACTTTATAAAAGAAAATCTAAAGAACCAGATGGATAAAGGAAAAATGGGAAGAGAAAGGCACAAGAGTGAAAAAGTGAAACTTCAATCTTTTAGCAAAGGGAAATACTGAATTTGCTTAAGAGATTAGGGCAGTTGCTGAAATCAACATATGTAAAAAAATTACCCCTTGTATGTTATTGGAGCAAAGGATTTGGGGTCAGGAGCTTCCTGTGTCTGCCACTTAATGTTTAATATTGTACAAGCAACTTTTCTGAACCTCAGAGATGCTAAGATCAATGTATATAGAAGTGGTATATGAAATGGTTAGTGCTATGTAAATGTTTTGTTATTATTATTATTCCTGACTTTTTCTTTTTGCTTCTTTGGCTGTGAGATAGTAGGCAAGTAAACTTAAGTTATTTGTGCATACTAATAAGCACATAGAGGATGCTCATGTGCACCAAAAGCCTATACACCAAAAGCCAGACCTCTTGCTCCAAACTGCCAAGTTATGAATGCAAAGGAAAAGTTCCTGAAGCAAATTAAAAGTGCTACTACAGTGAACACATGAGTAATAAGTATTGTGAGATTCTTAACTTCTCTTGTCTGGCACTCTTTTTCAGAATTTCAATCTAGAGGTTCTTGTTTAGTGTATTAGCCTTTAAATGGTATTTATCCATTCTTTCTCTTTATAATAAATTTGGACTAAAATAAGATATATGATTGTAATAGTAATTTATAGCTTATAACATAGGACTATAATAGTAGTCCTGTATTAGTGGCCTATTGTAAATTGTTAAGTATGGCTACAAAATTAAATAGATTTTATTGGTTGTTCTTTTTGAATTCTTTCTTCAGATACAGAAGTTTATGGTGAGTTTTATCCTGTGCCACCTCCCTATAGCGTTGCTACCTCTCTTCCTACATACGATGAAGCTGAGAAGGCTAAAGCTGCTGCAATGGCGGCTGCAGCAGCAGAAACATCTCAAAGAGTAAGAAAATTTTGTCATTTCTTTTGATAAAATTATATTTGTTAATTGATATGTACGTTTAGTAATACTAAAAATAGTTCTTTGTGTTTAAGTGTGTATGTAGATTTTTTTCGAGCATCATGGGTTTGAATTGCACAGGTCTACTTGTATGCAGATTGTTTTAAATAAGTATATTAGAAAAACATTTTGGAGATCTGCAGTAATTTGAAAAAACTTGGGATGAATTGCGTAGCCCAGAAATATTGAAAAAATTAAGGCAGGTAATGAATGTATAAAATGTATGTAGATACTAGTTTATGTATTATTGACTGTTTATATTATCAGTAAGGCTTCTAGTTAACAGTAGGCTGTGAGTCGTTAAGTTTTGGGGAAGTCAAATCACTCAGATTTTCTACCACATGCAGGGGGGTCGGTGTCCCTAATCCTTGTGTTGTTGAAGGGTTACTGTATTTGTTCTACTGTTGCTTATGTGTGTGGTCATTTTTGTTGAAATTGACATTCCCCTAGTTAAATTCACCTTCTCCATCCCTTGACTTCCTCTTTTCTATTGCTCTTCCCCACTTACCATTTCCTAAATTTTGATTTCAGGCACCTCATGTGTTAGCCTTCACCTCGCATCCTAACTCACTCACTCTGGTTACCACCACTTGGAAAGTTCTTCTCTTTGCCTGGACCTCAAGTCCATGGACCCTTTGATGTCCATGTACTTATTTCTCTGCTTACGTAGTTTGAATTCCGTGGCCTATCATTTTAATTGTGAATCATCTTTTTTTTTCTGTTTATGTTTTCTATATTAGCATAGCCGGTTTAGTGACTGTGAAAGAACTCAAGGTAGCCGAAAAACACAGAGAAATGTTACAAGGCCTTCAAATTATTTTTGTCAGCTGTTTTTTGAAATAACATACTCTACTCTAGAATTTTGGAATGATGATCAAGCATTCTGTCTTCCTCATCTACCTGTTTTAGTAATAGAGTTAATGAGATACATGTATATTATTCTTTGCTCTGGTAAAAGGAGTGGCTGTCTCAGTCATGGAGAGTCAGTGACATGCATATACAGCTGCTATTCTGCAGCCAGGTAAGAGGCAGAAATTATTTACATTTTAGTGTGGCTGCAAGGAGTGCTAGAATTTTTTGCCTTTTTTTTCTTGCTTCAGACTTGAGAGATACCATTTCAGATCCCTGGATTCACCCCATTTTGTTTGGGAAAAGAAAAAATATCAATTCACCCAGGAAAGGTAGAATTAGGTGAGGAATCAAGGGAGAGAGATGTACTTCCATGTATGGCATTCTCCTCTAGCTGCTATGAGGTCAGAGCCCAGCAAGCAGATCCTCTTGAGAGATGAGCATGTGCCCTGGATGTGTTTCTTTTATCAGCAACAACCCTTTTTATGCCTGCTCCCACTACCCTCTTCCAGCACACACAGGGTTAAATGTCAACATAAATAGCTTTGGACACAGTTATGAAGGTAGATAAAGACAGTAAACTCCAGATTTATTTGTTATGCCTTTTCCTTCACAGAGGAGGAAAATCAGTCTCTTAACACCGTGGCATAATATAGCTAAGTCAATAAGAATTTTTGTTGCTGTGAGGGGAACATCATAGAGGAGGAGGATAGATCTAAATAGGGTGTTTCTGTCTAAATCAGTTCTAGGTTACTTAGAACACATATATTTGTAAATGCACATGCCCATCTCTCAGTGAAGTAGATTGAGTCCTCTCTAGCTATGAAAGTCCCAATAACTCCTTTTCTCAAGGGGTGTTTCCCTAGAGACCTTGGCAGTGGCAAAGGTCCTTAAAGAGTATTATGGACCTTAGATCATTTACTGCCCTAACTTCCATAGAATAGGATAGAATTCTAAAGACAACGTAGGAAGTATTAAGTCTTGCTAAGTGTGCTTTGAGGAAAGTTGGTTTTACCCCTTTTGGAGAGAAAAGTCTAAAGTGTTACTGTTCCATTTCCTCATTGTCATCATTTCCAGCACCCTGTTTTAGAAAGTAAATGTAATCCTCAGCGGGAATTGGAACATGTCCATAAAGAAAAATTCTCTGTTTTCACCTGCTTCTGATGGCATTGTAACTCCAGCTTGTGAGCATTGTGGAAAATTTCATAGACAGCCAAGTATTAATAGAATTGTGTACAAGAGACTAACTTAGGTCTTGTAAAAAATCTTTTAAATTTACCAGTGCTTCCTTAATCCAGTGCTTCAGTACCCTCTTTGTGCAGAGTATGAATGTTTGCATATGAGTCTCCATTACCTGATTGAGATTAAAATATTGGTCTGTGCTTGAAAATTGCTAGGAGAGTAGATTTTAAGTGTTCTTACCACACAAAAAAAAATATTTGAAGTACTGTACATGGTAATTAGCTCAATTTAGCCACTCCACAACGTATACACATTTTAGAACATCATGTTATACATCATACATATATAGTTTTTGTCAATTACAAACAAAATTTAAAAATTGAAAAAAAAGTCTCATCGAATTAGCATTTGAGTACATTCAGTTGTAAATGAGTCTCAGCTGGGTGTAAAAGCTTATGTCCTAAATCAGCCCTCATTGGGAGAATATAGAGAGTCAAGAGACTTTAAAACTACTATTTTTTACTATTTCCTATTTCTGATGCGTAGAATTGCATGTATGTTATGGAATGGTTAAGTAGTTTTCTGAAAATGACAACTCATTTTTAATATTTCTATGAAAAATGCTAATTCCAAACCATTAATTTTATAAAATGTTGCTTGTTCTTCAGGTAGGCTCATTTCATCATCTTATAATGGGTAGGGCTCTTTTTTTGTAACTTGATTTAAATTGTTGCAGTAACTTGTCTTTTGACATTAGAACTATCACTGGATAAATCATGAGCGACTCCAGAACAGAGATCTTGCATTTACATTCCCAGTACCTAGTTATTATCAGGCACATTTTTGTTGTTTAGTAAATGACAGTCGATTATGTTAATGAATGCTTTCTCTGTATTAGCCAACGTGGGAAAATAGGAAGAGGAAAATACCACAGATGTTCTATTACAGCTCTCTATTTTAAAATATTTCGATGTCTTTACCAATTTCAGGATTCAGAAATTAATGTTTAATGTAGTTGAAATTATTGCCTAGATACCATTTTATTTTTTAAACATCTTATATAAACATTTCCCTGTTACTTAATAGTTGAGTTAAATTCCCTGGAATCAATATGCTATTGAAATTTAGTGGCCATTCCTCTAGAGTGAACAATTAGAGTATTTTCAAATGTTTGTATTTCGGCTTTTTTCTATTAATATTATAAAAGACATATTTGGGCATATTGCAGTGACTCACTCCTGTAATCTCAGCACTTTGGGAGACTGAGGCAAGCAGATTGCTTGAGCTCAGGAGTTTGAGACTAGCCTGGGCAACATAGTGAGACCTTATTTCCACTAAAAAAAAAAAAAAAGTTCAGCCAGGTGTGGTGGCATGCATCTGTACTTCCAGCTACTTGGAAGGCTGAAGTGGGAAGATCACTTGAGCCCAGGAGATTGAGGCTATAGTGAGCCCAGATGAAGACGGCAGTGAGCCATGATTGTGCCACTGCACTCCAGCCTGGGTGACAGAGTGAGATCTTACCTTAAAAAATTTTTTTTTTCTTAATGACTTTTGATAAAATTCCTGTGTTGATTTTGTTGTTGTTGTTTTGTTTTGTTTTGTTTTTGAGGCGGAGTCTCACTGCGTCCCCCAGGCTGGAATGCAGTAGTGCCATCTCGGTTCAGTGCAACCTCTGCCTCCCCAGTTCAGATTATTCTCCTGCCTTAGCCTCTCGAGTAGCTGGGACTACAGGAGCATGCCACCATGCCTGGCTAATTTTTTTTTTGTATTTTTAGTAGAGATGGGATTTTTAGTAGAGATGGGGTTTTGCCATATTGGTCAGGCTAGTCTCGAGCTCGTGACCTCAAGTGATCCACCCACCTCAGCCTCACAAAGTGCCGGGATTACAGGCACGAGCCCCTGTGCCTGGCCTAGACTGATGTTTTAAAATACACAGTATGAAATGTATTTTTGCCATCACACTGACAGTTTTTTGTTCTTACTATGCTTTCATGTTTATTCCTTGAATTAATTTGAAATTATATAAAATTTTATAAATATGTACTTAGTCATGGCCAGTGATTAAATTTAGTATATTGAGTTTACCTGTGATATATGATTGCACAATTTAAGGGATTTTTGTACCAAAATAATAAGCAATATAAAATGATTTTGAAAGTTTTTAAATTTCAGGATAGCAGTATGCTTAGTGAGGCTACCATGATTGTGTGGAAAGAACATCAGTGCCCTGGATTCAGGTTCCACTTTGACCCTCCTAATTATGTGATCTTGAGCAGAACCCTAGCTTCTCAGACTTGGCCTCACAAAATTGAGTTATTCACACTCAACTGAGATGATGTGTACCATATTAGTTCATTTTCACACTGCTATAAAGAAATACCCAAGACTGAGTACTTAGAAAAGAGGTTTAATTGACTTACAGTTCTGCAGGCTGTACAGGAAGCATAGCAGCTTCTGGGGACGCCTCAGGAAACTTACAATTGTGGCGGAAGGTGATGGGGAAGCAGGCCCGTTTTACATACCTGGAGTAGGAGAAAGAGAGAGAGTGGAGGGGTGATGCCACACACTTTTAGACAACCAGATCTCAGAAAAAAACAATAATGCACTCACTCACTATCATGAGAACAGCAGGGAAATGATGTTAAACCATTAGAAACCATCCCCATGATCCGATCACCTCCTACCAGGCCCAACCTCCAACAGTTGAGGATTACAGTTGAACATGCGATTTGGATGGGGACACAGATCAAACCATGTGATTCTGTCCCTGGCCCCTCCCAGATCTCACGTCCTCCTCACATTTCAAAAAACAACCATTCCTTCCCAGCAGTCCCCCAGAATCTTATTCCATCATTAACTCAAAAAATCAACAATCCAAAGTCTCATCTGAGACAAGGCAAGTCCCTTCCACCTATGGGCCTGTAAAATCAAAAACAAGTTACTTCCTTCTAAGATAAAATGGCACTATAGGCATTGGGTAAATATTCTGGTTCCAAAAGGGAGAAATTGGTCAACAAAAGGGGATACAAGCCCCGTAGAAGACCAAAACCAAGCATGACAGTCATTAAATCCTAAATTCCAAAATCATATTTTTTTTGAGACAGTCTCACTCTGTCACCCAGGCTGGAGTGCAGTGGTGTGATCTCGGCTTACTGCAACTGCCACGTCCCGAGTTCAAACGATTGTCACTCCTCAGCCTCCTGACTAGCTGGGATTACAGGCATGTGCCATCATACCTGGCTAATTTTTGTATTTTTAGTAGAACCAGGGTTTCACCACGATGGCCAGGCTGGTCTTGAACTCCTGGCCTCAAGTGATCGCCTGCCTCGGCCTTCCAAAGTGTGGGATTATAGGCGTGAGCCATCACACCTGGCCAGAATAATCTTTGACTCCATGTCTCACATCCAGGGCTTTCTGGTACAAGGGGTGGGCTTCCCAGGCCTTGAGCAGCTCTGCCCCTGAGGCTTTGCAGTGTACAGCTCCTGTGGCTGCTTTCCAGGGCTGGCATTGAATGCCGGCAGCTTTTCCAGAGAAAAGGCCGCCAATGCCTTTACCTGGAAGACATGTAGAAACATGATAGAAGTGTGGAGAATATCTCCCAACATAGTCTGCTGTTGATGGGCATGTAGATTGTATCTAATCTTTTGCTCTTATTAGCATTGCTGGAATGAATTATCTTTAATACATCATTTTTTATAAGAGGGAATATGTGTACGTATATATATATCTGTGCAGTATATTTTAAGAACTGGAATGGCTGGATCATAGGGTATGCACATTTTTATTTTTGATAATTATTGCAAAATTGCCAACCATAGAAGTTGTACCAATTTATACTCCACCACTGGTTATGAAAGTTCTTATTTCCCAATCATTACTAATGCAGCACAGTCACATGTGTCTTCTTGATACCATTTTTATGAGTTTGATGTTACTCATCTTTTGTCTTTTTTGTGTTTATCTTTAAAGTTACTCTTTTCAAATGTGACTGTGAAAAAATAGTACTTGCTAATGCTTATTGATTACTCTGTGCCAGACATTGTACTCATTATTTCATTTGTCTATACAACAAATTGAGAACATTAGATTTTGTTGAAGTTCTTATGCTTACATTTAAGATGGTAAAGTTGTAATTTTTAGTAAACTATTCCAATGTTACATATTTACAGATTCAGGAGGAAGAGTGTCCACCAAGAGATGACTTCAGTGATGCAGACCAGCTCAGAGTGGGTAATGATGGCATTTTCATGCTGGCATTTTTCAGTAAGTAATCTTTCCCAACTATTTTGATTTTTTTGCATGTATTGATTTTATGTGTATTAAAGTAACATAGTGAAGAGAAGCAAATATTGTTAGCATGTGTCTACCTTTCTTAAAATGTAAATTGTTTCTGATACTGAACTAATGAATACTGTGATCATATGTTTAAATACAAATCCTAGAATTTGTTAAACTCTTGTTTGCATAAATATGCATTGCAGCCATTATGAAGACGCTGAGATGTAAAAGTACATAAGCGTATTTAAGCTATTTCAGATTTTTAAAGAGAAATACTGCTATATTGGTGCCCATTCAGCTCTGTAGGAGCATATAGAATGAAACTATAAATTCCGCTTTGGGGGCAGAGGATTTCCATTTGAGTGTCCTTAAGCTAGAAGAAGAATTGGAAAAAACGACATTCTGGGCAACTGGAACAGTGTCACTTGAGACAGACAGTTATGAAAGTATAAGTCTTATTTGGGGGAATGGTAAGAATTAGAAGATCAGAAACTTAGTAACATTTTAACATCTTGCAGAATTCTTAGTATTTGACTTATAAAGTAAATCTAATGTTCTTGAGAGAAGACTGTGTCAGTCTTCATTATTTCAATTCCTAATACAGGGATTGACATAGTAAACTCATTAAATAATAAGATGCCCAATAAATTACTAAAGCCAGTGGTAGAAACCCAATATTCATTTAAGTAAGTTTATTAATCTATGATATAGTTAATTTCTGCCCTCCACCTGGTTAAATGATCAAGCTTTCATTCTTGGATAGAATGCTGATTTAATTCAGTTTAGTTATAAGCTTTATTATGATCATAAAACCGAGAAATAAACTTATTTAAAATGTCACATTCAACTTTAAAAAGTAGAAAATACAAACTTCATGAGTTGACACTTTTGAGTCTGAAAGTTCATGTAAACCTTGTCCTCCAAGTTTGAAATGGTTTCTTGCTTCCCTTCTATTTTCATCTGCTGAAGAAAAGAGGGGGAGAGGAATGAGGAAGGAGGGCGGGCAGCTCCTCGAATTTACTAATTGTAATATTCAGGTTGTCAGCCAGCAAATGTATATGCAAGATTTAAATCTTAAATTGGTTTTAGTTACAATTTCTAGTTAGATATGTTAGGTATAATAAAAAAGAAATAAACTCTGGTTACAAATGAGTGCTGTTTTGTAATATTAGTCCTGTGAACCTTGGTTTTTATCTTAATTTTGGTTTAACTGGTAATCCTATATATTAGTAACATTTTAATAACAAACTTCTCACATAGTTTGTTTACAAAAAAGAGTAGCTTAAACATTCATTGCTTTCATTGTTATTACACCTTTTAAGAAACCTTAATTAGAAAAGAAAGGATCTAAATATATTGTACTATTTTTAATATAAATACCTGTTTCTTGGGAATAAAAACATGTTATTTGACACCTTCTAATTATGTAACTCAGAAATCTTGTTTCTCCGTTTCTTTATTTCATTTACCACCAGTATCTTCTTTTTAATTTTTATTTCTTAGATTTGAAGGCCTTTCACTGATGTGTTATAAATGCGTGGTAACTTAGACACACTGGATGACTTTATTCTTAGCCAGTGATAGTATTATTAGCTAATATAATGTAAATGTATATATTTATATTTAATAGATTTAATATAAATATTTTACTAAAGTTTTACTAAATTTTTTCCACAACTCATATATGTAACGCTTCCTGTTTTACAAATATTGTACCAATATTGTGACAGTAAATTTGTTTTTACCTCTATTTCCTGATTTTTTTTTTCTGGTAGGCTATAGGCCTAGAGTATTGGCTTGATAAGCATAGATTTGTTTGTCATCACTACCATCTAGTGGCTGTTTTTCAAATTGCAACTTGCTATATTTTCCATGTTTCTTAAACATCTAATAGCTACTGTGGGTAAAACGGTCCAGAAAAAGATTTTATTTTTAGTGTGGTTTATTTATAACTTAAGCATGTCATGTTACATAACTTGCACAAGTAAAATTACAGTGAATATCAATAAGACTATTTCAATTAAAACCTTTTGGTGGTTTAATTCTTTCCTTCTTTATTTTTAGTGTTTTACCTCATATAACCCTAAAAAAAGTTTACACTTAAATTTGGTGAGATAATTGTGTATTCTTGTTCAGAAAATGTAAAAGAAGAAATGTTTGTAATAATGCTTTTGCTCTCAAAATCCTTTTAAAGTGTTACCATAAAATGCCTCAGATACATGCATAATATGCATGTCTCTGATCTTATTTTTAAGAATCTTTCTAAGAGAATGGAACAGAATTTGGTTATTTGCCAAACACGAGAAATGAAAAGTTTACAGATAATTGACAGTCTATGGAAATGACCTTAAATTTTAGTACTTTAAAATGTAATGGGCTCTTATTTGATCCTGTTTAGAAAACTTTTCTTCTGAAGTTTAGCCATTTGTACCGTGTGTGAATTTTCACATCAACATGCCATGGTAATAAGTAGTCACCTACATTATTCTCATTTTAGACTTGCGGGAAACAGAAAGAGAAGATACTTGTAACCTTAAAAGAATTAGAAGAGTGTTTTGAAATGTGAATTCTGATTTGTAAGAAATTGCCAAACTGTCTTCCGAAGTAGCTGTAGTATTTTGCATTCCCACCAGCAATGAATGAGAGTTCCTGTTGCTCTGTGTCCTCACCAGTATTTGGTGTTGATGATTTTTTTTTTTTTAGACATTCTAATAATTTGATGATGGTATCTCATTGTGGTTTAATTTTATTTCCCTAACAATTCATGTTAAGCATCTTTATTCAGTTCATTCTTTTGAGCACCTACCATATACAAGTCAAAAAGTTACAGTTTTTAAAGGGGTTATCTGGACACTACACATCTTGGAAAACAAAAATTGACGACGTATTCTGTCCATGAAAAGCTGTTTTTTATATAGCTTTTAGATGACATTACATAGCATAAGTAAATCCAGAAAAGGAACATCTAAGAATTGTAATTACAGCTGAAGAAACCCATAAAGTATTTGTGAAGTATTGAATTTTATTGTTTTGTTTACCTTTTTTTCTTTTCTTTTTTTTTTGAGCCAGAGTCTTGCTCTGTTGCCCACGCTCTAGTGCAGTGGTGTGATCTTGGCCCACTGCTACCTTTACCTCCCAGGTTCAAGCAATTCTACCTTAGCCTCCTGAGTAGCTGGGATTACAAGTGCCTGCCACCACGCCCAGCTATTTTTTTATTTTTAGTAGAGACAGGGTTTCATCATGCTGGCCAGGCTGATCTCGAACTCCTGACCTCAGCTGATCCCCCTGCCTCGGCCTCCCAAAGTGCTGGGATTACAGGCGTGAGCCACTGCGCCCGGCCTGCTTTTATTTATCTTTTTTAAAAAGCCAATTTTGTTGGCTGTTTGCTTAGGCTGGACTTCTTGCGTGGAACCACATGTGAGCTACATTGTGATCTGGTTTTAAGCTAGTTTAAAACTGCAGTTTCAACTATTAATGATAAGCTTTCAGGAATGGATTCCTGTTGGCCAGACTGACGAGAAACGAAGCCTACCCATTTGTTGATATACAGTATAGCAAATAAGCCGTTTGCAAAAAGTGGGCTATAGTCTATAAAGAAGACTTAATTGGCAGAGTTAAAAGAAAGGGAACTGTGCTGTTTCCATTGAGCAATGAAATATTATTGATATGTCTATGTTAATTTGTTTCCAAATTGTGGTTTATAAAATAACTGTTTGTTACTTTCAGTGGCATTTATTTTCAACTGGCTTGGATTTTGTTTATCCTTCTGTATCACCAATACCATAGCTGGAAGGTATGGTGCTATCTGCGGATTTGGCCTTTCCTTGATCAAATGGATCCTTATTGTCAGGGTGAGTGTCTTGATAGCCTGTATCTCTTTTATCTCTAAAATGAGATGTATGAAATTTTCTGTGTGATTCATGAATGGGCACTTTATTTTCATGAATTCAGTTATTTCAAGGCTTATTCTTAAATCCTATATTTAATCATTATAGTGAGCTCTGCGGTATGAACACTTTATAACTTTATCATATGAGAAATTGTTAATATAGTGGAAAGAACTTTGAAATCATAAAAATTTAAGTTTGAATCTCAACTTTTTTATATGTCTTTTAACTTTATTTAATTGTTCTGAGCATTAGTTTCTTTATAATAGGCTGATGATAGCTGCCTTGTGGCATTTTTATGAGGTATGGAAATAATTTAATTAAAGTACCTTATCCAGTTACTGCACAAATATATGTGCTCAGTAAATCGTGGCTACTATTATTGTGATATAGGACAGGTATGCCTAAAATCAGTTAAAACATAAAAATTTCTCGTTTAGTCACATTATCATGAACTTAAATATTTTCTCACTCTTTTCTTTTGAAAACATTGAGAGCTCAAAAGGCCTATGAAGTGGTTATCAGAACCCTTTTTTTCCCTCATCCTTCTTCTAAGCCTTCCTTATTTTCCTGTTGTTCCCTGAAGTGACCTCTGCCTTCTTCTTATCATTTACAAGATAGTGTATAGGGAGACAGTGATAAGTCCTTTTCCCCACCTTAACAACTTTTCTAGTCCCAAAAAAGTTTTCTGTAAAAATTGCTTAGGCATTAGTGTTGTTAGCATCATCTTCCCCCAGCTCTTTACCTTTGCCTTTTGAAGGCCTCTTTTCACTTCTTTTTATAAATGTTTCTTCCTAGTTTTTTTTTTCTTTACGATAAGATCTAGGAGAATGATCAAGAATGGCTTTACTTATTGTTTTAATGAGTCTTTTGAAAAGTTACCTACACATTTTAAATGCTATTATACAATTAATAAATTAAAATATATACATTCTACATTTAAACAGTAATTTCTTATTGAATGAGCTAAATTCTCCTAAAATTTTTAGTAGAATCATAGATCAAATATATTAGTTTCTCTTAAATGTTCAGTTTGATAATATATCTATATTACTAAGTTGATTTAAAAGTACCCATTATGAAAATATTAATGTCTATAGATGTGATGTATTTCTTCATTATTTTAAAACTTATAGCTTCCCAGGGTTTCAGTAATCCATAGGTTTTGGTTATTAATCAATTAATTATTGGTTGGGACCTATGGACTGGTTTCTTCTAAGAAAATTAAAATTTGAGCCATCGTAAGAACTATCCCCTGACAATTTCTTGTTTTAGTTTTACTGCAAAAGATGTACAGTGGGTTCCTAACACAAGTATAAATCTATTAGGTGTTACAGAACATACAAAGATAAAGACACAATCCCTTCCCTTATAGAAATTATTATTAAAATACCTCGAAGTTGGGCCTAGATAAGTCCAACGTTGATTATGATACTATTAAGCACTATTATTCAAATGGGATTTCTCATCTAAATCACAGAACACAGAAAATGATATGAGGACTATTTTCTCAATTCTCCCAGTTAGTAAATTGCTAGTATCATTCTAGATGTATAAGAAAGAAGTTAATGCATCCTATACAACTTATGCCCTTAGAGTATTACAGCTTAATTTTCTCATAAGAACCTCAGGTTGAGAAGGGATTAGATTATCTAGTTATCAACTCTAGTTGATGTGATAAGATGGGGAACTTATATTCAAGGACTGGAGTTTCTTACAGTTTTGTAAGGTATATACTGTCATCAAGTTTGATCTCCGGGACTGTTTAGTTTCCCTTAAAATACTTTTACTGAGTTAGAGTTAATGTTATGCCTTTAGTGTGTATTAAGAAGTGTTATAAGAAAAGGATTTTAAAAAATCTTTTGTATAAAATAACAATAACTGTCATTCATTTAACCCTTAGTGTATGCCAGGCATAATTTGTTACAAATAACGAGTTTTCAAACTTTTAACTGTATCTCTGATGCTGGTGATGATCCAGCCATTTTATTGGTGATGAAAGTAAGAATAAAGAGTCTAATAATTTGCTCAAGGTCCCACAGTTGTTTTTCTTGTGGAGACGGATTCTCACTCTACCACCCAGGCTGGAGTGCAGTGGTGCCATCTTGGCACCCTGCAACCTCTGCCTCCTGAGTTCAAGCGATTCTCCTGCCTCAGCCTCCAAGTAGCTGGGACTACGGGCACATGCTGCCACGCCTGGCTAATTTTTTGTATTTTTGTAGAGACAGAGTTTCACGTCATTGCCCAGGCTGATCTCAAACTCCTGAGCTCAGGCAGTCTGCCAGCCTTGGCCTCCCAAAGTGCTAGGATTACAGGCGTGAGCCACCGTGCCCAGCCAGTCCCACAGTTTTCAATGTGAATTGGCATCTACCTTGGTCTCAATTCATCGCCTATGTTCCTACTTCTGTACTGCCTCTGTTACACTGTATTTTGACTTTTACTATAATGCTCCAAGTAAAACATTCCTTTCAGAGTTTAGTGCTGAGAGAAAAGTTTTCCCCTAAAAACCTGGTGTTTCCTTTCATTAGACAATAAGTAATTTATAAATCATACTGCTGCTGTCCATTTTGTGTCTGAGCTGCCATGAACCTCGGATTTTGTGTAAATATCTTTAGCCTAGGCTTCCGATACTACTTCTGTCTAAGGTTTTTATTATTTGGCTAAAAATACATGTGTTTTATTAAAAACTAAGAAATTATATTTCGAAAGTAGGATGTAAACTATGAAATAGTGATGTTGTATTAATATAATAAAATCAGATGAATTCTTAATGTTCATTAATTTATTTTCCAAAATTTGATTTCTCTAGCCTGTGACTGGCCAATCAACATGATTGGTTTACTTATATTAAAAAAAACAACAACAGTTGGCTTAGGCTTATGATTTTAGTATTTTAAAACATTTTTGCTAACACAGTAATGAGTCCAACATTACTTTATCCTTTTTACATAGCGAATCCTTCTCTTTCAAAGTATTTTGGTGAAGACAGACTCTGTTCTGGCTGTTCGGGTTGCCTGTTACTGGGTAACACGCAGAAATTTAAAATAAAAACGTATTGCCTTGGTTCTTTATTCTTTTTTGTTCTTGAAAAGCCTTTAAGACCTATATGAAAGTGTTTTATTTCTAACTGTGAATCACTTGACTAAAAAATAGTATAGTACAGTCCTGTGTAAGCTGCATCTTTTCCATTTCAAGTCCCTCCTTCATTGTACACATATTTTAAAGATGTAGGTGTATGTGGGATCTCTGTGTTTAGTAGTACTTTGAAATTTTAAATCTCTGAAATTACTATACATTTTTAAAAAGTACTATAAAATGTAAAACATGAAATTACTGTAAATACTGAAATTACTATAAATGGTTGATTTATTAATTAGAAATACTTCCTGAGAAAATACTTAAAAGGCTATAAAAAGTAGACTTAGGTAATCTTTATTTGATATGCTTACTAAATAACATTATTTACAATTTGTAAGCATTTTTTATTATTGCCAAAGCCTAGGATTTTTAAGCTTATATGGAAATTACCAACAAATAATTGGAAATCTTTACGTATAAAGTTACAAATACTTTTAATTAATATCAGATTTGGGAGCAAGTCTGCATTTAACAAAATCATTTTTAGTTACATCAGATTCAGTTTGCAGGCCAGTGGAAACAGGGTGGGTAAATACAAGCTAATTTTTAATAATTTTAGAGTAGGTTATATTAAACACTTTTAAAAAATAATCATTTGAGGCATTGTTTTAGGTGCTAAAGTTATCTGAAGTAACTGAAGAAAATCAGATTGATTTTTTAAAAAGCCTTTTAAAATTAATGAAGTGTAATGTCTAGAGTCTAATCAAGGAAAAGATAACTGTGTCCAATATCATCAAACTCTGCCTTCCATCTGCCTGTTCATATTCCCACACCACAGAGAATATAAAACTGTCTGCCATGGCCACTAATAGGAACTGTTGAAATGCCACTTTAAAGCTGTTTTCAGCTCACTGTTGGGAACTGAATGCTAGAGCATCTAGTTTGAAAATAGAAAGACTCTAATGGGGGTCTTTATGCACCTAGTATTTTTGGCAGTGATTAGCAGTAGGGAGTGTACAGAAGGTCAAAAGCTCTTCTTTTTGGAGGTCAGCAGGATACCCCCATCTGATAAGATTAAACTAATGTGGCTTTTGGTGTTAATATCTGAAGCAGCAGGTTGCTATAGTGTGTTTGGGATGGTAGTTGTGGTTTTGAGAGATTATGAAAGAAGGACTGATGTGAAATTTTTAATAAGAAAATGTGTGATTCAGACATACAACATTTACTTGTATTTCTTGCAGGGAGTTTGAAACTGGTTTTTGTTTCCAAAATACTTCATTTAATTTTTTTTTTTTTTTTTTTGCTATTGCATAAGATGATTTTTTTCTCAAATAATTTATATGTATGTATGCCATTAGGTGTTTTTATTTTTCCTTTGTGCTATTTTTAAGTGTTAAAAATTATTTGAGGTAAATCATTCTGAAACTGAAGATAATCTATGATTTTCAAATTCAGGTGTACGAATTTGGTTAATATATTTATGTTCACTCCATAGTTTTCTGATTATTTTACTGGATATTTCAATGGACAGTATTGGCTTTGGTGGATATTTCTTGTACTTGGTAAGTTTATTCTTAATGTATTTAGTTTAACTTTGATATTTCCAAAAACTGTAAATATAAATAAACTATGGCACAATTTATGTGGAAATTATTTTTCTTCTGTAAAATTCTCATATTCAAACACATCATCTCACATTTTTAAACTATTCTACATAGCACTACAGGTTTCTTAGATTTAAAATCCAGAGGCTATCAGTGTAAAGAGTCAGTGGTGGGATGATCATTGAATGCCACAAAATTTTAAAATAACAATGTGATAAAAAACTGTCTTAGCATTTATCTCAGAAAATATACACAAATAACTTCTTTTAATGATCTTAGGAAATTTGAGAGTTGGATAGTTTGGTTGTTCTGTCTATTCTCTTATTTTTCGATCGTGGAAACATTCTTTATGCTTTTGAATTGTGCCTTGAATTAATCATTAATCAGCCAGGCATAAGGAAAGACTTTATGCCTAATGATCACAGTACTTCTGTTGAGTTGTCTTATAAGACATGTCTTTTTATTAATATTGATGGAATTTTATGGATTTTCAATTTTTGTTCCCTTTTGTTTTTTACCTTCGATGTGAGATGATTAAGTTAATCATTAAATCACATTATACCTTTAATCCACTTTTCAGATGTATTTGCTGACATAAGGAATACATTTTGTTTCTTGTTAGGATTAAAAGCCCATGTTTCACTCAGAATTGTACCAGAAAATAACAGCATTTCAGTAGGTGGCAGTCTTCTCTCTGAGTTTTTATTTAGTCATACTGTTAGATCTTTAGGATCTTTTGGGAAACAAATTATTGTTAAATAAGGTCACTTAATTCTTTAATAGCTATAGTGAAATTATTTTAGTATTATGACCTTGTTGAGATGCATCTGGAGGTGAAGCTAGTTTTATATTGTTGTGTTCTAACTGCCTGAATGCCGTGTTCTTTATTGAGTTTCTTACCTAAAAGTGAGAAGGTTTATAAAGTCTGTTAAGTATTTAAGTATATTAAATGAGTACATTTGTATGTGTATATATATTATTTAGAGATTGGAGGAATCTTAGGGAGGTTAATGTGGGGCAGAGTAGAATACAGAGGACAATGCCAGTTCCACTTCAGAGCCGTAATCTAGTATTTATTTATTTAGGGGAATGTGAAAATGTAATAAATGATAAAAATGTTGCTCTCACATATGCTGAAAAGAATGTTGAGCACTTTGTAGAATGCTCAGAAACAGTAGCCACTGAGTGATTGGTTTTTAGATATGAACTGGGTGACTTCTTTTAGAAAATGCCTGAAAAGTAAAATGTGTGTTAGAAAACAGCAGCTTTAGAGAGAAAGGAAGGGATCCCACAAATAAGTTGGTTTACATTTTTCAGTAATAGTTTTACATTTGGATAACAGTATTACTATCTTTGAACAGCATCTGGAAGGGTATGAGGGTGGAATGCAGAGGGAGTCCCAAACGGAGGGAGTTAGGACATGGGAAGCAGATGCAATTGGGTTTAGCTGAAATGTATACCCTTTAAGTCATCATTTGTAGCTCTCTTCTGTCTTTCCTCTCCAATTTACTACACACATGCTTCTTTTTTTTAGTGATTTGATCATTGCCTTGCAGTTGGGGTACAAATTTAGTTTGAGACTTTGTATTTTAAATTCACAAACTCCTTTTCCTCCTGATGAGGAAAGTCATACACATACAGTAGATATCTTCTGTTTTTGTTTTTGGATCCCCCACCCCAATTTCCTGATTAAAAATTTACTGGGGTTAATGTTTCCCTAAGAATCATGTGCTTAAGTATTTCAAAGGCTTATACTAATAATGGTAATGTTTTATATTGATCTAATATTTGTTATGTGAAACTTTAGAGAATTTCACAGGTATTGCTTTTTAAATTATTAAATATATCTGTGGTTATTTTAAAATACTACTTTACAAAGGAGAAAACTGAGATAGATATAAGAGGAATCCCAAATAATCTAAATCATTAGAGTAATTGTCTTCCAAGTTGTCTTTTCTAACTCTTCTTAATTTTTTATTATGGTAGTTTCTTATTATTACTTCAAAATAAGAACTCATAATTGAAAACATGTACATAATGCACATATCTTCAAATACAGATTTCACAGATGACAGGCACTTGATACTGCTGTACAGGCTTATTGTTTTTTTCGCCACAGTTGTTAGCAACCACATGTATGTTTTTCCTTTTTATGTACTTTATATAAATAACTATGTCTTAGTTCACTCAGTAGTTACATTAATTGAAAAGATTGAACCCATGGGCTCAATGGGAGTTTTATGAGTTGAATCAGTTTAAGTGCATCAGGTAACTTTGCTATTTGAGGAAATTATTTAAATGTATGTTTTTATGTAATTCTGGATTTTTATAACTAGATTTGCTTTAATTTTGGTACATCTAGGCTTAACAAATTGAAAAATTGTATTTCCTTGTGACAGAGTTTATCCTTATAGTGTAAAATATATTACAGAAATGAATGGAAGTCTGCAAATAAAATTCCTTAAGCCAAGAGGATCTTGTTCATAATCGTCTACTTTAAATTTATCTTGCCCCTTTCTGTATAAAAACATATATATCCATATTATTTCAACTTTCTCAGGTCTGCTCCTTTTCTTCAGAGGATTTGTTAATTATCTAAAAGTCAGAAACATGTCTGAAAGTATGGCAGCTGCTCATAGAACAAGGTATTTCTTCTTATTATAGAGGTAAGAAATATTAATCTGTGAACTCTGCCTATTTCCTTTATGTATTCAAATTTACCGGATACATGTTAAATGCCTAATGAGTATTCATGATTTTTACTGTTAGCATATTTAATATTTTTTAATACTGCTAATGGTCAGCTTATTGAAATTTAATAAGTCATAGACCTTTTTAGATAACTCTTAGATTTTTAAAATTGAATTTCATACATTTTAGTTTTTAAAATACATAACGAGTAAACTGAAATTTTAAATCAGACTTTTAAAACTTCTCTTTAAAGATTAACCATAGAATGTATATCAAGTAACCACCAGCACGAAATTTGAAAGCTTGAAAAACAACACACTATGACATAGTACTTAGACTGAAGGAATGGGCATTTTTGTATAAAACAATGTGAAATTCCCATAGATACCTGGTGGAAAAAAAAATCTGTGATTGAAAAACAATTTGTCTTGCAGTCCTTTTAACAGTCTGGATCAAGGAGTAAAAGTCATGTGAAGAAAATAGTTCTGTTACTGTTTTCTTAATGTGTGCTGGTTTTTATCAACTATGAAGGCTACAACTTGAATAAGTAGGAATATGAAGAAATGAGTAGACGTTGTCTTACTAGTTATCCAGTGAATTTCTGGAGGCCGTGGATATAGTAATAGTATTTATTTATTGTGCAGCGGGAGTATCTTCACATAAAGTGACTTCCTACTCCCTATTCTATTTTTTAAAGCAAGTACCATATACTTTATGCCTATAAATAATGTAAATTGATAAAGCATTTGAACTCCATAACCAAAATGTCTACTAGTGCTTAACTTCTGAATGTAGGACTATAAGGAACAAAGTGTTTCAAGTTTACTAAGTATTCTTTTTTCAAATAAATTGTATGCTTTGTGATTTGGTTGCTTACATTTTATTTATCATTTATGTAAGTTATACATAAGCTTATATAATTTACTTATTTCTGCTAGAGTACTATGAATACACTTGTATTTCTAGATCATGTTTAAGTATCATTTTAAGTGTTCTATTAAAGTCTCCCCCAACCACTCCCAAAGAAGTCGCTGTCGCTTTATTTTAACAAGCAAAATATCTTCTCAAACAGTGGCATTAAGAATGTCAGTATTAATAATAAGATTAAAAGGCAAAGTAATTTTGCTATTTTACTAATTTGTGTGGTTATCTTCTGTGCATTTCAAAGAGTGTAAAATACAATGCAAATATTTTCTAGATGAAAGTCTGCTATAGAAGCCTTACACTTTAGAATATATTCTGATTTATAGACTTTATCAAAAGAATATTATATACTTGATATAATTCTTCTATAAAATGTGTTGTATTATACTGTGATTTAGATAAAGACAACTTAATACATTTTAAGACTAATTCCTTCTTTGTCTCCAGACTACATCAACCCGACATTCCTTTCTTATACCAATGTGAAATTTCCGGATCATCTGTAAACCTACAACTTTAATAGAAGACTACTAATAACAGAAGACTAGTAAAGAAAAGACGGAGCTTCAAAATTGAATGGCAGGGTGGTTTATGCTTACAAGCCATTTCTGTTCATTCTTTAAGTATCTGTATTTCATTTGTTTTGCACATACGCATATGTGCCCATTTGAGAGATTTGCGTATACTTGATAGAAACCGTAAAGTTGTAGCAGTTAAGTCCAGTCACATTTGGTTAATCAGTGTTTGATATAATTGAAAGAGTTGAGTGGATAAACAGTCTTCCAGCTTGTAAATGCCATTGACTTCTGACCTGACATTTAGTATAATAAAAATGAAATTATTAACCATGTCTAATGATTTAGTTTCTGGCTCTTAGACTCATCTGGTAATTCTACACATGAAACATCTTTTGTTACATAAGGTTTATTGAAACCTGCAGTGCTGATTATTAGAAAGGATTTGTCAGATTTTTGAACATGACATTTACATTATTATTTAGGAAAACTCTTCCTGTAAATAACCATGCATAACTTACTTTCTGCAATGTTTTCTTAGAAATTGTGTCCAGATAGCTTCCATTAATTTTAAATTCAGTGAACTAAATATATATATGTATATGTATACATATATATACACACACACACACACACACACACACACATATATATATATATTTAGAAACCTGAGTGTTAAAGATAGAATTTGTTTTAGGACAAATTTTAAGAAAATGTGGGAATACCAAATGTCCTTTATAAGATAAAAAAAAATTTTTTTAAGGGACATACTAGTTTTAGGGATTTTCAGATGAGAAGCTGGGTTTTTAGGATTGCCCGTCTTGGAGATTCTTGCAGGAAGAGATTGTATTAGATATTATATTTATTTCATTTAAGATAATTTTGAAAGTTAATTTTCTAAATAAGATAATTCTCATTTGTGTTTGTCTTTTAAAAAGCCAATAAAATATCTGTCAGTATCATTGTAATAATTTTTTTAGAGTTTAATTTGTAAAGCTTAGCAAATAAAATCTTGTACTATTAATAGCTTCTTGCTTTATGACTTTAGGATTAACTTGTAAAAAACATGTCCTGAACTGAGATATGCAAAACACTCATTTTCAAGTTATGGAAATGTGTTTGTGGCATATAGGACTGTGGGGTCTGTGTGTGTAGTGAGAGTATGTAACCATTATTACAACTGGAAGTTAATTTACATTCATAAACTACTATATTTCCCATCTTGCAAATCATTTTATGTCTCATCTGTTTTTCCTTTCGGTTATATCTTTGATTTTGAATACCAACATTTAAAATGATGGTATTTTATCTTTTAAACTTAAAAATTATTTAATACAGCTATATGGAACGTATAAAATTGATTTCTTATTTATTATTAGACATTACTACTAAAAGGTACATCTAACTATTCAGGGACATTTTTCCATTTCCAAAAAATAAAATTTATTATGCTTTATAACCCCTTCTGTATTTCTCTGTATTTTCTGATTGTTTCATTGTCCTTGATAAATAAAACATAGTTTAGTTTTGCTAATATAGCCTATTTTTTGTTTTGTCTCATTCAGTTTACTTTCCTGCGTAGAATTTTTATTGTTGTATTAAAATTTTTATTGTTGTATTGAAGTACCTGTGTTACAACCCTTGAAGTAAGACAATAGCATGGGGTAAATGGGGTAAAGAAAAAATACTTGGTTTAGTTGCCTAATTTGGAAATTAATTAAAATTAAACTGTACTAATAACATATTCAAACTCATGCTGTATCTCTTTCGTATTTCTTATAGACCTGTACTTTATTCTTTCAATAATTTTTAAATTAAATTAAAGCTTTGCTACGTGGTAATTAAATAATTACTAGGAAGCTTAGCTATCAAACATCGACTTACTAGAATTTCATTTTAGCTTTTATGGTATATGTGCTTGTTTTCTGAATATGGATATGTTACTTTTGATCCAGCATCAAAACTTCACTTTTTGTTTTGACTTTTTCCCCCAAATCTGTAAGGTTCAAGTATACATATGACTTAATCCTCTATAATTGGCATAATTCAATGGTAGCCTTAAATCTCATCACGTAAGCAAGGGAATCAGAATGTTATTTTCAAGAACTTAATGTTCCCTTCAGATATATCAAATCCTGCATACTTCATTCCTGTGACCTTGAACAGCTGCTGTTGTGTTTTGGGGACACTTGATCATCTTTGCACTCTGCCTTAAAGATTGAAAAATCAGAACTCTTGTTAGGGTATCTAAACATTTTTGAGTGTGAACTGGGGATTGGAAGTTATTACAAAAATTTTTCAAATTACTTCTATTGTAAATGAATAAGCTGGTCATGGCTAGGATAATCCATCTTCATGTATTTATGCAATAAACTGAATTTTAAGGCAAAAATACACTTTTCCATATGGCGTATGCAGGATAGATTTTAGGAACTTAGATTAGAATAGAAATCCCATTACATTTGATTAAAATGAAAATCTCTGCTTAATATAAAAAAATACTAAACTTTAGCCTATTATTTTAAGTCTATAAGATATATTTCATTTTAGACATGCCTTTGAAGTTGTTCACATATTTTTACCTGCTAAAACAATATTATTTCCAGTAAAAATCTCTCCTAACAGGAAAAGTGGAGTTCCAAATATCCAGTTGGAGAAAAATTCAGAGTTCCTTCATTTAATATAATTTTTTTCATCTAGTATGCACTGTTTCCAGAAGTGCAAAAGGTAATGATAGTGAATGTGACACCGTACTTAACTAAGGTAATATATATCCTTAGTTTGCTCAAAACTGTCCTGGTTATTCCTGTTTTCTCAGCTTAATAGTGCCTCGTCGTACTCGAAAGTGTTCTAATTTGGAGGATAAGTTATATGATCATCCTGTGTATAATTGTAGACCGTACCAAGAAGCGACTACCTTAGCTCCACTGCCCTTTGAGGGATGGAACTGGGGTAAGGGTAGAAGCCAGTTATTATTGCCACAGTGTTTTCTAATGAACCATTTGGCCTGTAGAAGAGGAATAGTATTTTTTTTAATAGTTGTATTTGAATCCAGCTTATGATAAATATTAAACTGAATGGCTTTTATATTTTTAACTGCTGTTAAATGTTATTTTAGCATTTATTAGTTGTTTAATTCTTCAAATAGTCATATGAAGTATTAACATATATTTGATAAAGGTCAATTGTTAGATGATAATGTGCCATTCATTATCATAGGAATGTCCTTGCCCATATATAAAACATGCTGGCATGTATTTTACTTGTTAATAAAGTTGTATAGATGTGGAAGTGTGAACCTGTGATGCATCCTTTTCAAAATCAGTTTAAGATTCACTTCTTATCACCACTTTGACCTCACTAAACTGTTTATGTGACAAACCTTTCAAGATTGGAGATGGAAACAACACTTGTGAAATTAGGTTGGAGTTTAAACATCTTTTAACTTCTCAGTTATTTGTATGTCAGGAGATAAATAGTGGTTTAATTTTAATAAACACAAAATACCAGCTTTTTGAAAATAATTTGTTCATTTCTACTTTGTAAAGTATCATTGGTCACGTAGCTCAGACCTGCTTATGGGTGTGAATTCTTATTTGGAACATAATACCTAACATGCAAAAATTTCCAGCAAGTAAATAAGAAAAATAGAAAACTCATTTCATACTTTTAAAAACATGTTTTTAAAGTTTACTTTAAGCTCAGAGTATGTGCTGCTTTTACTTTTTTAATGTTTTGAGCTTATATTTCATTATTTTTGTTTTGAGAGATTGAGTTGTGCTTTAAAAAAATTCTCCTTGTTCTGTTAGAAACTGTTATTTAAAAAAAATATCAGCACCTAAATAGAGAATATATGGGGTATTACTCCTTTAACAGTGGAGATTACAGCACACCAAAGCAATACTTCCAGTTCACAGAATCTTAGAGGTTTTCTCTCTCTTCAATCTTGCAAAGAACCACTTTACTACTCCCTAATTAAATTCATATTTGCTCCTTATGTCTTGTCTCCTGCAAGTGGAATTAAAGCAGAAGTTACCTAGATGACATTTGATCTTAAGGGATGCAATTAGGTGAAAAGGGGAAGGCAGTTGCCTGTTTACCAAGCAGTAAAGCATTCTAGCTGGTAGGAAAAGTGGAAGTTTGACATATCTCTCCAGGCAGAAGGGTGGGAAGCCCAGAGGCCAGTCCCTTAGATTTTCATTCTGAATTGACTTAGATGATACTACCCTATAACTAGTGACACATTTATTTTGCTCAAAGAGCCACTGCACTGAAATCCTTGTTAGAAGTGATCAGGAAGTAAGCTGGTGGGCATGTTGTTTCTGATTCTAGGATAAATTACTGCACCGGCTTTCTCTTACAATCATAGGTCAACCTTGGGTTTATTTTCAAAAATGGCTGTTATGTCAAAAGGGAAATACTTAGATGGGAATCAAGTTCTACAGACTCTACCCTGATCATACTTTGGATCACTGAAATATTTTTGAGTGCCTGTTAATAGTTCTTGAAGGGATTATGCTGTTACTGCCACATAAAACCTGTCTTTTACCCTATTCTTCTTTCCACCTTCTTTGAAAAAAAAAAACACACACACGAAAACAAACCTTAATTGCTATCTCTTTCAGGAAACCTTTTTCTCTCATCCTCTTTAATTTTCATCATCTTGGTTTCCATAGCCCTATGTGTGATTTCTGTCAAGGTACTTACGAGACAGTGCTGGGAGTATTAATTTTTAGGTTACTATCCTCAATTATATCTTACTCAATTTTGCATGTCACCACCCCCCTTCCCCCCCCAACACCTAAGCACAAAGCTCAATACATTTAGTGAATGATTGGATAGGATGGATGCCAGTGTGAGACTGTGTACTGGTGTATATAAAATGTCTTCTGGCCTTTAACTCAATGTCTAATAGAGAAAGATTTATAAAGAGGAAAATTGCCTAATATTGAGGTACAAACAAAAATTATGGGTCAGAGCAATTGAACTCCAGGAGAAAATGGGCACTCTTCACTGCAGAGGTGACACTGGAACTAGATCTTAAAGAATAAGTAGAAGTGTGCAGTGTGTTGAAGCATTTCATACATTCTCATATTTTTCCATCTCTTGCATGATGTTCTCTGCCTTCCTTGATTGTCCTCAGAAGGAAGGAATTATCTTTCCAATTCTCATAACACTTCTTCTGAGGCTCTTTATTAAACCACTTTCTACTGTGTGTCTCAGTACTGTGCATTCATGCCTCACCACTTCTGCTAGAGGGCAGGATCTGTGTGAGGTATAGAATCATAGCCTCCAGTGAGCCTAGCACATACTAAACACCTTTAAAAGATCAAGATTTTCCACATCATTGTGAGCCACTCACTTTACCACTGCAGATACCACTGCAGATGTCCACAATGGTACAGCCTTCCTCTTCTCCAAAACACTGTACAAGAAGTATGTAGAGTAATTGTGAACATCTTTTTCACGTATCTCCCAACTTTATCTCCCTCTCTAGAAGTAACCACTGTTAACAATTTTTACACACTCTTACAGATGTTTTCCACATAGATTTTTCTACTAGGATGATCCTGTGCTCTATGATGTCAGCATAACTGCTGGTTATGAAGGTGAGAGGATCCCAGGTATAAATGTCTGAAAAAGTGTACCTCTTGCTTTGTATTTATAGGAGACTGCTCTCAGGGGAGAGTAGTGTTTCTTTATTGCAAACATAGTTTATTTACTGAGAAACCAAGGTTTATTTTCTTGGTCCTTTAGTTTCTAGATGAAGAATGACTTGTGGTTTCGAGGCCTTTGGGAGCTGAACTATTCCTGGATCTGATATATGCAGCATGTAAATGTCCTACTTTATGAACTCCTTACAACTCCATTTGGTGAGAAGTACTCTGAAACGAGGTCATTTGGAGGGAAAAGGTCAGAGTTGGCAAGAAACTCCAGCCTGGGTACGCTGAGAGAAGACTAAAATAATGCTGAGTTTAGGCTGGGCGTGGTAGCTCACGCCTGTAATCTCTGCACTTTGGGAGGCCAAGGCAGGTGGATCACATGAGGTCAGGAGTTTGAGACCAGCCTGGCCAACAGGTGAAACCCCGTCTCTACTGAAAATACAAAAGTTAGCTGGGTGTGGTAGTGGGCGCCTGTAATCTTAGCCACTTGGGAGGCTGAGGCAGGAGAATCACTTGAACCCCGGAGGCAGAGGTTGCAGTGAGCCAAAATCACACCACTGCACTGCAACCTGGGTGACAGAGTGAGACTCCCTCTCAAAAAATAAAGAAATAAATAATGCTGGACTTAAAATGAATTCCCTTTGTTTTGGGACCAGCATGTCCCAGGATGTGGCAGTCACTGTTCTCTGACTAAACCTACAGCCATTTAGAACCCCTCTGTATTAGTGTTCTCCAGAGAGACAGAACCAATAGGATCTGTGTATGTATGTATATATGTATGGTCAATTGATCCATCTGTCTAGGTATTTATTATTGGAATTGGCTTATGTGATTATGGTGGCTGAGAAGTCCTATTTACAGTCTGCAAACTGGAGAACTAGGAAAGCTGGAGGTGTAATTCACTGAGTCAGAAGGCCTAAGAACCAGGAGAGCCTATGGTGTAACTCCCAGTCCCAGTTGGAAGGTGGGAGTGGGGTGAAGAAATGGTGTGAGTCTGGAGTCCAAAGGCCCAAGAACCAGGAGCTCCCGTGTATAAGGGCAGGCAAACATGAATTGTCCCAGCTCAAGAAAAGAGGGATAGTTCACTCCTCTTCCATATTTTTGTGCTATTTTGGCTCTCAATGGATTGGACAATGCACACCCACATAGGTGAAGGCAGATCTTCTTTACTCAGTCTACTGATTGAAATGTTAATCTTTTCCAGAAACACCTTCACAGACACACCTGGAATAATGTTTAATCAGCTATCTGGGCATCCGTTACCTCAGTCAAGTTGACACATAAAATTAACCATCACACCCTTCTTCTTCCCCAGTTTTTCCTGCCTGAATGCCAGTATGGTATCTGGAGGTGAAGCGGGACCCAGATACACAGTTTGGGTTCTCTGTACTGTGTAGTGATAAACAGTTTGGATTGCTCTTAAACATGACCAAAGTAAGTAATATCCTCAGTGGCTAAGCCAGTGGCTCACAGTGATGTGCAAAATCTTGCACCTTGTTTTTTAAAGGTGCTTACAGTAACCTATGTTCTATAGAATTTACAGGAGAGCTGCTTAGGCCTTCACAAACCACCAACATGAAAAAAAAAAAGTTGCAAGTCTTACCTTCCCGCAGGGGTTACTGACCAGACTCCTCACGCATGGTTTGATTTTCAGTCAACTCACTTCTGTGGCAGTGTGTAAGTAGTTTAAGTAATGGGTTTATATCTGCTTGATTCTCGCCCTTTTATTCTCTTTATTCTTCAACTGTGTTCCAGTTGGGAACCCACTGCTTCCCAGTCGCTTCTGGAGAATGGCTTAGTGAAAATGTCAGCAGCCATGATTTCAACAACTATCTCAAAGGTCATTCCATGCTGTCCATATTAACCACCAACACAACTTTGCCAAGCGAAGCAGGTGCCATTTTCTTTCTTCCCTTCCCTTCCCTTCCCCTCCACTTCCCCCTTCCCCCTTCCTTCTCCCTTCCCTTCCCTTTTTTCTTTTTTTGGCCACCTTCCTGGCTGGGAAAGCAGGTGCCATTTTCAGATATCTGCTTGGAAAAACAACAAATCAGAATGGCCGGGTGAAATCAACACTCCCTTTTACGGTAGTCCAGCTCCCAAATACGTAATGTTGGCTTTTCAGAGAAGAGTTAAAATATGGCAAGAGTGAAGCAAGATGGCTGACTAGAAGCAGCTGCAATGTGTGACGCATAGAAAGGAGCAAAAGGGGTGAGTAAATACAGCACCATTAACTGAAACATCCAAGTACTCATGCTGGGATTGATCAGGGAAAGGGCTCGACCCATAGCGAATGGAGAAAAGCAAGACAGAGTGACGGCCCACCCAGGAGTGACATGGAACCAAGAGAACCCCAATCCCTGGCCCAGGCAAACAGTGAGTGTGCAACCTCAGGAACCCATGCTTTTCCTATGGATCTTTGCAACCCTCAGATCAGGAGATCCCCTCATGAACCCATTTAACCAGGGCCTTGGGTCTGACGTACAGAGCTGCATTGAGTCTCAGCAAAACAGCTACTCAGGCGTGCACAGAGATCTGAGAACTTTACGTATTTGGGATCTGGGATTGCTGACAAAGGTGACTGCAACTTAAGCAGGGTAGGAGGTCCGTACATACCCCTGGGAAGGGGGCTGAATCCAGGGGGCTGGGCATTGTTGGTCTGTGGATCCCACTCCCATGGCACCTCACAAGATAAGACTGACTGGCTTGGAATTCTAGCCAGCCACTGGCACTTAACCTGAGACAGGACAGAGCCCCTTGGGGGAGGAGCAGGCCACCATCTTTGCTATTTGGATGACTCAGCCATTTTAGCCTGCAGACTTTGGAGAGTCCAAACAGACTGGGTGTGGAAGGGATC